ATATAGGTATAGTAATAATCTGATATAGTGATTTTGCACAGAAAAATATATAAATATATTCCTATTACCTTTTTCTAATATGAAGGGGGCAGTGCGGTAAGATGGGATATGGAATAAAATCTAGGTAGCAATCTGCCAGCGTGTTAACTTAAAATGGTTATAAAGCAATTTTTTTTAAGTAGACTCCACGCCCAGCATGTACCCCAATGCTTGAACTCACGACCTTGGGATCAAGACCTCAGCTGATATCAAGGGTCATATGCTTAATGGACTGAGCCACCCAGACACCTGGTTACTAAGCATTTTAAATAGAAATTTTCAAACTCTAAAAGATTCCTTGTCAAAGGACAAAAAGGTAGAAAAGGAAAAAAAGGGGGAAACTTTTTTCTTGGTTTTCACATTTATTAAAGGCCTTAACGTCTCCATCCCAATAATCTCCGAAGATCTGTTCAAAGTTCTTTTTTGCCACTTACCAAATAGCAAACAGGCAAACAAACAACTAGGTATTTAAGCAAGATGTTTAGTGGTTTCTCCCTAGCCAGGGACCTAAAGACAAATATATATTAGTTCAACATTATTACTACAGTCAAGACAGAGGATCACCCTCATCTTAAAGAAAAGGAAAATGAAGCACAGAGGATTAATGACTACCCATCGGCAAACAAATGGGGGGAAATTAGGCATCCAAACTCTCAGCACAGGATTCTCGTGGTTTTTTTTCTTTTTTTTTTTTTAAGATTTTATTTATTTATTTGAGAGAGAGAGAGAAACAGCATGAGAGGGGAGAGGGTCAGAGGGAGAAGCAGGCTCCCCGCTGAGCCAGGAGACCGATGTGGGACTCGATCCCAGGACTCCGGGATCATGACCTGAGCCGAAGGCAGTCACTTAACCAACTGAGCCACCCGGGCGCCCAGGATCCTCGTGTTTTTCAAAAGCAAGGAACAAAAATCAACTTAACGGTTTGCAAATAGCACTTTTTAAAAAAACAAGATAAAATAGAAACTATCCAAGTAGACTGTACACACTACAGATTTTATGTCAGTTTTCTTTCAGTTATATACGTATATTTTTTTTCTTACACAGACACATGCATGCACACACACACTTGTGTATCTATGGAGTCTTGACATAAAAAGATCTCTTGCTATGGGTTGCAGTCAAAAATTTTAAAAACACTTCATTTCACACTGCCTGTCTTGAAATACTTGCTTGTATTTTTTATGGAAACATTGCAATAGCAACATTAAAAACATTAATAGATGATAATCCTACCTAAAAAAATCTCCCCTTCAAATCCCATTTTTGCATTTATTTAATGCTCTGCTTTTTGCGCTTGTTTATGACTACAGCTAAAATAACTATCAACTAACTAATTAACAGCAATAACAGCAACTAGCAAGGAGAGAAGCTCTCGCTCAGCCAAAAGTGCTACAAGAATCAGTGCCTACTAGTCTCCCAAGTACTTTACAGTTAGAGAAGCAGATATACTTTACAAAAAGACACAGTATGTTCACCAGAGAACAAAGGTTCAGACAGTTCTCTCCAAAAAAAGACTCAGAAGTAAGTCCTCCACAGACTTGACCTCGGAATGTAATTTCAGGGGGAAACGCCCATTCTTAAAATACTTTTTCTACACAATATTGCCCAAGGCTAATATCTAGGGAAAAAAATTAACAGAAAATACAACCATCTACTCCTAATTAGGTCTAAAATTCTAAATGTGAACTGCTTTGAGAGAAGCTACACTAAAATTCCAGCTAAGATACAGAAACATGTCTCAAGATATCAGATCATTTTTAGATAGCATATTTGGGAGAAAAGAGAGAAGATAATAGCTCTGAAGAGTACAAAGATAAAAGAAAATGGGTAAAGTAATTCAGGGTTAAGAAGAGGACAAAAGGGAAACTACTCAATCACTATGCCACAGTAAAAGTTTAATCCAAAACATATTAGGCTGGGGCACCTGGGTGGCTCAGTCAGTTAAGCATCTGCCTTGGGCTCTGGTCATGATCCCGGAGTCCTGGGATCGAGCCCCTCTCTCTCTGCTGCTCCCCGTGCTCATGCTCACGAGCGTGCACGCGCACACGCGCTCTCTCTCTCTCTCTCTCTCTCTGTCAAATAAATAAGTAAATAAATCTTTTAAAAAATAAATAAAATAAAATATATTAGGCTGTACCAGATATTTCAGTCACCTGCCCGCAGCCTCAACCAATCATGTTTTGTGACACATGAACCCACCTCCCCCTCCACAGCTAACTAGACTAGCAGTGGGCACCTTTGCCTGAGGCCTTGGAAAAAAAGAGCCATCACCAGGATGTTGGGAATAGGAGCAAAAAGGGAAAGAATTCACAAAAAGAAACAATGAAGTTTGGATTAGGGGACTGACAAAGTAGATTCAAAACAGGTAAACAGAGGTTATAAGTAAAATAAGAGATACACAGTAGAGAGAAAGAGAACTAAGCACGTCAAAATGTAGAAAATGTCAAAAATGTAGAAAAAACATGTGCAGTTCATGAAGGAGGAATGCTTGTTTGTGGCAGCTTTCTAGTTCCTACATGTGCATCCCCTTCCTCGAGGTGGGGAATAAAAAACCCCTAAAACACAAATATATGACTAAAAGGGCTTATTTGAATTTGTACCATGTTAAAAAAGAACATCTAAAAACCTTTATCATTGAAAGTCTGAACTAGAAGAGTCCTTGGAACCAGACCAATTCACTATGTTAGGCATGAGGAAAATGAGGACCACAAAGGAACATAAGGTTATACAGATAGGGACAGAGCTAGGACAAAAACCAAGGTCTCCTATTTCCATAGTCCATTACTCTCTGTCCTGTATTGCACTAACACCAACATAGAAACTTTTTTTTTTTTCAAAATGAGTATTTTTGCCACATATTTTTAAGAGAATCAGATTTTAAGAAATCTTTATATGCATAGGTCATCTCCCACAGTTTAAGTAAGTTTTCCCCTTACTTAGTTCCTTGCTCTCTATTATCCTTATGAAATACATTCATCAGATTTCTCCTTTTCTTCTTAAATTTTTTTTAAATGCATCAGTCACTGAAGACATGACATAGAAAATTCATCAGGGCCCTACTGGCTTTTCTTCCACTATAACTGTACACTCAAAAACAGCGTTACTCAGGACTTGTTACTTCACATATTACACAACTGTGTTTGAACCCAAAGTAGTACATAACAGAATTTCCTTTTTTTTTTATTTAAAGATTTTTATTGGGGCGCCTGGGTGGCTCAGATGGTTAAGCGTCTGCCTTCGGCTCAGGTCATGATCCCAGGGTCCTGGGATCGAGTCCCGCATCAGGCTCCCTGCTCCTTGGGAGCCTGCTTCTCCCTGTTTCTCTCTCTCTCTCTCTCTCTCTCTGTCTATCATGAATAAATAAATAAAATCTTAAAAAAAAAAAAGATTTTTATTTATTTCTTTGAGAGAGAGAGAGAGAGAGAACAGAGGGAGGGTGAGAGGGAGAAGCAGACTCCCCGCGGAGCAGAAAGCCTGATGCAGGGCTCGATCACAGGACTCTGAGATCATGACCTGAGCCAAAGGCAGACGCTTAAACGACTTAGCCACCCAGGCACCCCCATAACAAACATTTTCAATGAAAAAAAATCAATGAAGGACCATAAGGATTTCCTTAAAGAAAAACTCATCACCAATGTCAGTAAATATCAGGAGAGAACAGTGCAAGAACCAAAACTATAGAGGAACTAATGTGAAATGTTTCAAATCACTCCTTATAAATTTTATTGCATTCATTCAATTTGTTCTGGGAAAACTACCACTGGCAAACAAAAATCCCAAAGGGGTAAAATTATTAACCAGTGAGAAATTGTACAGAGCGGTGGAAAAAAGTTGACATAAGGTAAAGATAGTGAAGCCCCACGTCAGGATTGCAGAACACCTAGATGCTTACTCTGCCAAAACAAACACTTAAGCTCCTCTAAAGATTCTCCCAAAGGACACAGCTTGGGGGGAGGGGGCAGTGAGAATAAGTCCTTGTATCTCCAGAGCTGATCCACAGAAAAGCAGAGTCATCAATTTCCTAAGAACATTCTCAGCCATCTTAAAACCGTAGAAATTAAGAAGACAGCATACTTTAAAGGAATTCCTTCCTTAGATTTAAAGTGAACAAGGTATTAAGTGAAGAACACACAAACTAGGGTGCTAGTCATTAAACAAAGAAAAGCACAAAACTCATAAATCCAGAGGCCGCTTCAGTATAACTAATAAAAGTATGATATTCAAGGGATTTTTTCATCAAAGGAATTAATGTCACTGTAAGCACATTATTTTTTATTCCAACAACTTAAAGGCGTGTACTGTTATCTCCACTTGATTGATGAGGAAACTCAGGCTTAGAACCTTTAATTAACCAAGGTCATAAAGCCAGGCAGTGCCTCGATTAGGATGGGAACCCAGGCTGCCGGAGCCCCTCTTAGTACCGATTTCAAGTGTGTAAGTCACAGTCGACACAGCAGTTTAAGTTCATCCTTACCAGTCACCCAGGAGCTGAGTTTGAAGAGGGGGTAAAAAAGGGGCCAACTGACTTTCTCCCTCAAAGTAGAACAGAGCTGAGCTGTCAAAAGCAGAAAAAGAAGTGAGCGCGGCTGCCGCGCGGGCGCTCCTCCATCCCTGCACCGGGTCGGTCGCTCCCCGGCGCCAGGGGCCATGGGACCGAGCCCGCCCCGCTCGGATCAAGCAGTCCAAGTCTCGCTCGGTTCTCCGCCCGGGGCCCACCGGGCCACGGCGGTCAGACCCGGAGGGGCAGGGACAAAGAGCCTCCTCGGCCGCGGGCTACTGGCAGATCCCGAGCCGGTTCTCTGAGGACACCTGGGGGCAGCGGCCCGGGTGGGGCGGGCGGCACGAGCGGGACACGGCGGAGGAAGGGCGGCCGCCGGGCCTGAGGGGGATACCGGAGAGGCGCGGGGCGGGCGGGCGGAGTCGCCTCCACCCCCGCTTCGCTCTCGCCCCCTCCCCATTACCTTGCCTGTGGGCTTCTTGTCACTGTCGCCGCCGCCAACGGGCTCCCGAGCCGGGGCGCGCAGCGAAAGTCGATTAGCAGGCGTCAGTTGCGTCCTGCGCTCGCGAAGCAGCCTCCAGGTCGGGATGGAGAAACGCCAAGACTGAGAATCACGGACGAGGTGGTTCCCAGCTCGTGGATATTCTACTCTTCTCGTCCCTCGCAGTCCGCTTCCGCTCCGCCTCCCGGCCCGTCCTGGCCCTTCCCCCACTTCGGAGACCAGCCGATCGCGGCGCGCGGCATTATGGGGGATGTAGTCCGGGAATGAGGAAGAGGCGGCACGTGCTTCTAGCCGGGCTGATCCTACTCCTGGGGCAGGACGACGCCGTTGCGTGGCAACCAGAGGAAGCTGCCGGCTTCTCCTGGATTGGAAAATGAGTTTACGGGAGGCAGACGCTCTGTCTTAACTCCCTGCAGTAGCTAAAGGAGAGTGTGGGCGTCTTACTCCTGACCCTCCAGCAGGCGACTAATAATTCCAAGGCTGTGAGCTGGAGGCAAAAGGACTTAGTGATTAAAAGTGTGCTGCATGCAAGAATGTACGTTATTGCCCCTGAATGCCCTTAGTCAGTGGAGTAAGGCAAGAAAAATAAAAGGACTAACGATTAAATAAGGAGAAACAAATTGTTATTTTTCACTGATGATGTCATTATTATGTATGTGGCAAATCCAAAAGTATCTACAGATAGATTGTTACAATTAATAAAAGTTAAACAGGTTAATTTAAAAGTCGCATTTAAAAAAAACTATGTATTTCTACATTCCAGGGATAAAGAGAATTAATATTAAGATACCACTTACAATAGCTTCAAATTAAATATTGAGTACCTAGGAATAAATCAAAGAAGGGCAAGACCTACATGAAGAAAATATTTTTTAAAAAACACTGAAGAGGGGTCACTGGATGGCTCCCGCTGTTGAGCATCCAACTCTTGATTTCAGCTCGGGTGGTGATCTCTGGGTCTTGGAATTGAGCCCCATGGGGCATGGATCCGCTTGAGATTCTCTCTCTCCCTCACCCTCTTCCCTGGCCCCAAAAGTCCTTGAAGAAGTGCCTGTCTGGCTCAGCTGCTAGAGCATGCAACGCTTGATCTCAGGGTCATGAGTTCAAGCCCCATGCTGGTCATAGAACTTACTTAAAAAAGAAATAAAAAAACAAACACTGAAGAACACTTAAACAAGAGATAATATGTTTGGAGCACCTGGGTGGCTCAGTCAGTTAAGTGTTGCCTTCAGCTCGGGTCATGATCTCAGGATCCTGGGATTGAGCCCCTCATCGGGCTCCCTGCTCAGCAAGGAGCTTGCTTCTCTCTCTCCCTCTGTTTGCTGCTCCCCTTACTTGTGCTTTCTCTCTGTGTCAAATAAATAAATAAAATCTTTTTTAAAAATAAAAAGATAATATGTTCATAGAAATTTCAATACTGAATGATGTCAAGTCTCCCCAAATTTATCTGTAGATACAATGCAATTCCAGATAAAATCTCAATAGTGTGTGTGTGTGTGTGTGTGTGTGTGTGAAACTTAAGCCAATTAGACATGTTATGGAAGAGCAAAGACAAGCATTCATGAGGAAGAGAAGAAAGTAAAAGGAAGAGGAGGAAGAGGAAGACTGTGCTACCAGATAGCAAGTTTTATTACAAAGCCATAGTAATTAAGGCAGTGTGGTATTGGATCAAGAATAGACAAATATACCAATGGAACAGAATAAAGAGCCCAGAAAGTCTCACCCATACATGGGAATTTATATTGTCATGGTGGTGATGCACAGCAATGACTAAGAAATGGTTTTCCATAGGGGCGCCTGGGTGGCTCAGTTGGTTAAGCGACTGCCTTCGGCTCAGGTCATGATCCTGGAGTCCCGGGATCGAGTCCCGCATCAGGCTCCCTGCTCGGTGGGGAACCTGCTTCTCCCTCTGACCCTCCCCCATCTCGTGCTCTCTCTCTCTGTCTCATTCTCTCTCTCAAATAAATAAATAAATAAAATCTTTAAAAAAAAAAAAAAGAAATGGTTTTCCATAATTGGTGCTAAGACAAATAGATTCCCATTTGGAAGAAAAAAAATTAAATTGGCCCTTCACACACAAAAATCAATTCCAGGTGAATAATACACATAAATTTGAATGGCAAAACAATAAAGCTTTTAGAAGATAAAATAAAAGCATATATCCATGATCTCGAGAATAGGGGACAGACTTGGACTGCCTGGCTGGCTCAGTCAGTAGAGCGTGAGACTCTTGATTTTGGGCTTGTGAGTTTGAGCCCCACATTGGGGGTAGAATTTGCTTTAAAAAAGAGAAAGAGAGGGGCGCCTGGGTGGCTCAGTCATTAAGTGTCTGCCTTCGGCTCAGGGCATGATCCCAGGGTCCTGGGATTGAGCCCCGCATCAGGCTCCCTGCTCAGCGGGAAGCCTGCTTCTCCCTCTCCCACTCCCCCTCTGTTTGTGTTCCCTCTCTTGCTGTCTCTCACTCTGTCAAATAAATAAATAAAATCTTTAAAAAAAAGAGAGAGAGAAAGAGTAAGGGACAGACTTTTTAAACTAATCCAAAAAATACTAACTATAATAGAAAAACTGATCGATTTGACTACATTAATATTTAAGATTCAGTTTCATCAAATGACACCATTAAAGTTAAAGAGTAAGCCTCAGAGTCTAATAAACTTACAGCATTATACATCTTAAATTTATACAGAGCTCAATGTCAATTATAGCTCAATAGAACTGAAAAAAAAAAATGTACAGCACGTATAACCAAGAAAAGTGTTGTATCCGGAATATATAAAGAACTACAATCATAAGAAAAAGATTTGAACAGGCACATCACTAAATAAATCCAAATAATCAGTGAAAAAGTGTCAACTTTTTTCATGAAAACAGGGAAATTGAAACCACATTAAGACAATACTACACCACCCACGAGAATGGCTAAAATGAAAAAGACTGAAAATGACAACTGTTGACTAGGAGTGGAGCAATGGGAATTTTCACTTCACTATAGGGAGAGTAAATTAATAGGCCAGTTTGGAAAAATCATCTGGCCCTATCTACTAAAGTTGAATACAGGCCCATATGTGACCCAGCATGCCATTTCCAGGTATATACTCTTAAGAAAGGTATGCTCATGGGCACTGGGATGCATGTCAAAGAACGTTAATAGCAGTACTATTATTATTATTTTTTAAGAGAGGTTTTATTTTTTTATTTTTTTTATTCTTATGTTAATCCCCAATAGCAGTACTATTATTATAGCTAAAAATGATAAATGATCTAATGTCCTTTATCAATAATGGATAATGGATAAATTATGGATAAATTGTGGCATAGTTGTATTAATGAAATATAATATAACAGAAAAATGAACAAACTATATGCAATGATATTTATGAACCTTAAAAATATAATGTTAAGGGATGCCTGGCTGGCTTAGTTGGTAGAGCATGTGACTCTTGATCTCAGGGTTGTGAGTTCCAGCCCCAAATTGGATGTAGAGATCACTTAAAAATAAACCCTTCAAAAATAAATATATATATACATAATGTTAAGAAAAAGAAACCACTGGGGCGCCTGGGTGGCTCAGTTGTTAAGCGTCTGCCTTCGGCTCAGGTCATGATCCCAGGGTCCTGGGATGGAGCCCTGTCTCGGGCTCCCTGCTCAGTGGGGAGCCTGCTTCTCCCTCTCCCACTCCCCCTGCTTGTGTTCCTTCTCTCGCTGTGTTTCTCTCTGTCAAATAAATAAATAAAATCTTCAAAAAAAAAAAAGAAAAGAAAAAGAAACCACTCACAATAGAATATACACTTTATTATTCCATTTTTATAAAGTTCAAAAATATGAATAAAGAATGCATACTTAAGGGGCACCTGAGTGGCTCAGTAGTTGAACACCCGACTCTTGGTTTCCGCTGGGCTCATGATCTCAGGTTCCTTTTGGGCTCTACACTCAGCGGGGAGTCTGCATCTCTCCCTCTGCCCCCCCCCCCACTTGGGCAAGCCCGTAGGTGCGAGCGCGCGCGCTCTCTCGCTCTCTCTCTCTCTCAAATGAATAAATAAATCTTAAAAAAAAAAAAAAAGAATGCATACTAGGTGTTAAAACTGTAAAGAAGAGCAAGGAAATAGGTTAATGGCTACCTCTAAGACAGAAGGAACTTTATGGAGAGGGATTGAGACTGGGAAGAAGCAATGGGTTGGAATTCTACAAAATCTTCTGTTTCTTTTATTATTATTTTTTTTTTATTTTAGAGATGGAGGGTGGTGGGGCACAGGGAGAGGGAGGGAGAGACTCTTAAGCAGGATGCACACCTAGGGCAGAGGTGATATTTAATATCTTAAATATTAGGGCTCGATTTCACAACCCTGAGATCATGACCTGAGCCAAAATCAGCAGTTGGGCACAACCAACTGGGCATCCCCAAATCTTCTGTTTCTTGATATGGGTAGTGGTTACACTGTTGTGGGCTTTATAATAATTAGTTAGACTATATATTTATTTTTATTATTTATCCATTTTTCCACATATGTATTATGTTTCCCAATTTAAAAATAAAAGAGCGGAAGTCTGGAGTCAGATTGCATTCCTTCAATTCTAGGCCCTACAGCTGTCTGATCCTGAGCAGCCTCCATAACCTTTCTAAGCTTAGGTTTCCCCATCTGCAAAATGGCAGTAGTAAAGGTACCTCACAAGGATGTTATGAGAATTAACATGAGAAAATGAGTTAATGTGTATAACGCAGATCACATAGTGCTTAGCACATGGCAAGCCCTCGGGGGAAATGTTGTTTGTTATCACTGTGATCACATTGAAGTATTAAAGACACTGAGGCGAGTAAAATCATGAGATGGTCCCTTATGGTTGGAGGTAGGGAGGAGGAGATAAATATACAAGCAGCCACAACAGAATGTATCTGCTATATGGAGACTTTTCTCCATTTCACTGCTATTTAAGTGGGAAAAATCTGCATGGTAGCCAGGCATAAAGGAAAAGAGACAATACAGATCATATGCATAAAACAGGATAATCTGGGTAGAGATTACCTCAGCTGTCCCATACAGTAAGCAAATGTGGCTTTTCAGAACTTGCAACGTAGCTAGCCTGAATTGAAATGAGCTATAAGTA